TTGCATCAATTTGGTATCAGAGCAGGGTTAGCAAATCCTATGTTTATGAGTCGTGTTGTCATTTGAGTCTTGGTATCAAGTGAGTTTAGGGTTTGTTGAGTCTTCTTTTCTTTGTTTAGAAAAAAAATATGAAAAAATAAAAAACAACTAAGTAATCCAGTGGACAATCTTCCAACATCAAAATGGATGCCTCATCATGCAAATCCTTCAGAAGCCTCATATCAAGATTCAAATGAGTCACAAGGAGAACTTGACCCTGCCAAATTTACAAATGAACCATTTATTCAGGATGTGAATATTTCAAATGTAGAAGGGATTCCATCACAAGGAAGTTCTACAAATCCCCTACAAAATGAGTTGTATAAAATTCAATATCAAATGTTCTTATGTTCGGAGAAATTCGAGAAGAGAGAAATTTCTGTAGGACCAATTCATACGAGAATGAGATGTGATTCTGATGAAATACGAAGACAAAATTCAAGAGCTTGAGGTGCCTTCTTTGCCTCATCGGAAGAAATCTAAAGACAACTCATCGGGAGATGAGCATTTTCAACCGGGTGTAGGCAAGGGGGGGGGGGGGGGGGGGGGGGGGGGGGGGGTCAAAACAACTTGATCTTTTTGTTCTTTGGATTCTCTTGTTGTGAGCTGAAATGTTGAGATCTACTTGGTGCTAGCTCATTAATGCTTGAGCTGATGATTAGCTCATTATTTGGTGGTATAATTGCACTTCCTAGCTCATAAATTCATAAATGTATGTGGAATGAGCTTGTTTCTTCCCATTCTTGTGTCTCTTCAGTTCCTTCTTTGTGCTGTTCACGTGAAACCTGCTGGGTGCTTGTGTGGGCTCTTCCGTTTCTCCCCCTGGCTGCTTTCACGTAGCCTCTTCTTTCCGTTTTATGTGTTGGCTTTTCGGGTCCCTTCCTGACTGTGTTTCCCATGGCTTTCCTTCCTGTTTCCTGTGCAGATTTTGGGGGCTGTTTGTGTTGTCTTTTGCCCTTCTTTTCCCCTTACCTGATTGGTTTAATTAAGGTTTCATGTGGTTGTTTGTCTCCCCTTTCTCTTCTAAAAATATATGATGTTTTTTGTCAAAAAGGAGTTGTTGTGTGCTGATTTTTGGAGTAAGAAAACCTAAGGGTTTTTTCTTCTTTTGGAATAGCTTGCGAGCTATGTCCCCCATCTCTTCTCCTCTCTATAGCTTGCAAGCTATGTTTCGTCTCGGCCTCTATTCTCTTTCTTCTCTCCGCAAGTTTCCACCCCACCTGTATCATTATTCTCGACAATTGGCAAAGTTTTTTTAGGTGTCTTATTGTGTCGTTTGTAAGAGTCAAAGTTCGTAAGTCTTTTATTATAAAAAGTTGTATTGTTTCTTAATTTGTGTATTTTCTTTTATCCTAGAAATTGTTTGTTTTTTCTTGCAAAAATTTGGGGACTTTTCCAAAATTTTGCCTGCGTCAAATTTCTAATAATTGATGAATTTAAATTGAAAACTGAATTCATTTAAATAAACCAATTTTAAAATGAAATTAGAATTCAATAAAAAATTTGAAAACAAAAACTTAAATTAACTAAATTATAATTGAAAAAATAACCTAAGTAATTAACTAATTGATTTAAAATAATAACATTACTAATTAATGAGACAATAATTTAGTAACCAATTAACTAAAGGGAAATTAAGCTTTAAATTGACTAATTGAACCAACTAATTGAAAGCAGAAGCTCAATTAATAAATAAAATCTAACTGAAATTGGAAGCTTTCAAGACTATTAAAATCAACTAAGCTTAATTGCATAACTAATTGAAATTAAAGCTCTAATTGAATTTAAAATCTAAATTAAAATATGTTAATTGGTTAATCTAATGGAGCAAATCAAATTTAAGATATATAATTTTGAAATACATTTGAAAAATATAAACTAACAAATTGATCAAATTAAATTAAATTAAAATTCAACATTTTAATTAATCAACTTAATTAATTAATGCAATAAATTAAATCAAAATAAAATATAAAATAATAATGATGTTTTCCACTAACAATCCAACCTAAGTACAAGTTATGGCTTTCCAACAAACATCTCAAGCACTCTAAGTAGCTCTCAACAACATGCTCCTCCTGTAGCTACATGAGAGTTTCCTAAACTGCTGGCTACGAGGTCCTGCAAGAAAACATGTAAAAGTCAGTGCATCAATAAATAAGACTAAATTAAATGCTAGAAAAAGTAGAATCTAGCTACTGCATGCAAAGCAAAGTGCTGAAAGCTGTAGAAACAAATAAACGACAATGCTAAAGTAAAGCCACAAATTGTTGTAGTAGAAATAAGTTACGAGCATAAAATAAGACACTAAGACTAACGTCGAGGGAGTAAAGTGTCTAAAGCTATGCCCTAACTAATTTAAATCCAATAGGTTACTTCTAATAGAAGCAGTAAAATTTATCGGCAATTCTTTCACTAAATATATATTTATTAAGTGAAACCATAAATTCCAAAAATTCCCTTGGCTACTTTCAATGAAAGCCGTAAGTCCAACCTTTATAGGTAATATCTAGGAAGCAACCTAATCCTAGACCCCCTCAATGGGCATCTTAGCTTATAGGACTAAGTTGTAAGACCCGCCACCTAAGCTACTTCTAAGTCAAGTAGTAAGACTCGCGTGTTAGGTAAATTTTAAGTGAATGAACCTAAACCCAAAACTCAAAACCACCTGGGCATCTTAGTCTATAGGACTAAGTTGTAAAACCCGCCATTTGGTCTACTTCTAAGTAAAGCAGTAAGAACCGTGTGTTAGAGAACTTTTAAACGAACGACCCTATAACAAAAACTCAAATCCCTTCGGGTATCCTTGTCTATATGACTAAGTTGTAAGACTCACCATTTGTGCTACTTCTAAGCGAAGCAGTAAGACCCGTTTACTAGGGAACTTCTAAATGAATGACCATAGTTCCAAAACTCTAATCAATCGGCCAGCCTTGTTTATAAGAACTAGGTTGTAAGACCCACCACCCGACAACTTTCGATGAAAGCCGTAAGTCCAACCTTAGGGGAAAGTCTTAGGTAAAAATGACCTAACCTCTAACCCCCCATTAACAAATCCTTGGGCTACTTATAAGCAAAGCAATAAGACCAGCGCATCAGGGAACTTCTAAAAGAACGACCCTATAACCAAAACTCTAATCCTCATGGGCATCTTAGTCTATTGGACTAAGTTTTAAGACCCGTCATTTAGGCTACTTCTAAGCGAAGCAGTAAGACCCGCGTTAGGGAACTTCTAAAAGAACTACCATATAACCAAAACTCTAATCTCCATGGGCATCCTAGTCTATAAGGTCTAGGTTGTAAGACCCACCCTTCGGGCCACTTAGCTTATAGGGCTAGGTTGTAAGGCCCGTCATTAGACAACTTCTAATGAAGCCATAAAACCTACCCAATCAAAAAAAAATCTTCGAGCAACTTCTAATAGAAGCCATAAGACCCACTCATATCCAAATTCTTCGGGCTACCTCTAAAAGAGGCCATAAGTCCCACTATCAGGGCAACTTCTAAGGAGATTATAAGTTCTACCCAAATCAAATCACATGGGCAACTCCTAATTTGGAGCCGTAAGCCCTAAACTAAACAAACTATCAGGGCAACTTCTAAGAAAGTTATAAGCCCCACCCAAATCAAATCACACGGGGAACTCCTAATTGGAGCCATAAGCCCTAAACTAAACAAATTAACGGGCAACTCCTAATTGGAGCCGTAAGCCCCAACCCAAATTAAATTAAACTAAAATTCACACATCTCCACTTCAGTCTACTCGGGATCCCTGAGAGGAGGCAACTCATGGCTACTAATCAGATTCCCTGGACACTACAATCAATGGTTGTTAGTGTTGGTAGACTGAACCCACGGTATGCCTGGGATGACAGAATCATAAGATCTTGATTTGGTGTACCTTCATCCCCCCATAACTAAATTTAAATATCTGTTGCACATTCTCATACTCCTTACATGAAGCTAAGTATATTTCATCCTTAATCGAGAGTGTTCTTCTAATGCGTTTGGAGAGGTAATTAACTATGAGGGCTTGCACTCATAGGAAGTAGAACCCAGATCTAAATAAACCTTGACACTATTCTCAGGGGAAATCTGGTTAAATATTAAACTCAATCTACCTGCGGGAAAATTAAAGGGAACCCCTAAGTTTGTGAGGGTGAGGTTCACACTTATGTATAGGTATTTTTTTTCGGAGCGATCAATTATTATTATTATTTTTTTAATTTTACTAGGATCTCCCTCATCCATCATGTCATCAGAACAAGCCAAAACAGTAAACAAAGGCTTAAGTGACCAGGACCACTTACAGAAGTCAAGTTAGGCTGATGTAGACCATACCCATTTTAAATGATTTACAGGCCCACTTATATTTATAGTCGAATTTATTTTATTTTTAAAATTTAAATTATTTTATTAAGTTTTTTCTTGTCTTAGATTGACATGGGTTTTAATTTAAGTTTTCTGGGATTGGTTAGGATTATATTTGCATTCAAATATTTTGCATTATCCTTGTAATCCTATTTTTTTAAAGAAGGATCTAGATGAACATTTGGATTATTGGTATTGAATGAATTAAATTATTTGTGGCAATTGAGTATTTCCTAGATCTAAATTGTGTATGAGGATTGATCCAGGTTATGTACACAACTTTCTCCTTCTCATGACAACCTTTTTAAGCAGGATCAATTTCTTATTTGATATCTTAAGCACAGTTAATATCTAATATTTCTGGCTGTTCTTATTATTTTCATTGAGATTTGTTGATTGTAATACTCGTAACGTAACAAACATTTTAGTAATTTATCCAAAAACTATTTGATATTTCAGCGGCATTACTCTAATTGTAATGAGCCTTTGTAAATTTGCAATTATATGTAATTTTAATTGAACTTGCATTGTTACAAGTCATCTTATTTTTATGTATTCAATGTTTTAATTCTGTGTGTGTTGTGATTCAGGATGAATTGAGGGAAACTCAAGATCATGATCTCAGCCCAACTATTTCACATTTCTTTAATTGCTTTTTCGGGCATGTATCTATCGAAACAAAGAGTAACGCCAATAATCTGCAGTCAAAAGCTCAAAAGAAGGTAAATGAACCCTTTCTTGGCTGTTTTGTGGTACAAGGTGTACATGTAACTGGACAATAGCTTTTTTTGCTGTTATTTATGTTGAATTTGATTCCTTATTTATGTATGATAGCGTGGACATACCGAAAGTGCATATGATTTTTTAAGGTTGTGAAAGTCCTCATTCAACTGTATGATAAATAACATTTGATATATGACTTTTTTGAAAATAATTATTATAGATTTTAACAATTAAATAAGTTGTTTTTTTAATAAATTTTCCTTAATGGAAATCTCAAATTTGTAAATATTCTAGAGATATATGATTTAGCTTCTACCATTTATTATATGTACAATAAAATTGTATATTTAAAGAAATCTGAAGTTCTCATCAAAGATGTCATATATTATTTGTCAATCTCTTGTACTAAATTGAATAAGCCTCATTTTCAAGCCTTTTTAAGTTCATTTTATTTATGGATATTTTTTTTAATTTGAATTTTTTTCTTAAGTTCTTAGTCTTTTTTCGGATAGGAATATATTTAAATTTTTAAATTTGTTAGGATAGAATTTGTTTTTAAATATTTGGAATTTTATTTGTATCCTTATTTTTATAATTAGAGACCCATGATGTGTAATTAATTGATTCTTTGATGATGAATCCAATTTGATTATTTAAGAGACCAATGGAGTGCTTCTATGATCGAATTTATGTGCTCATAATACTTATTGGTCTCTCGTCCTGACTTGATATGAATTTGATGTAGACAAAGGGGGGTCAACACTAGTCTAAAATAAATCAAATTTTGGCTTCCCTTGAGTCTAGTAGTTCATCATATTTGAGCTAAACTTTTAGTTCATTTATGAGCTGGACTTTAGTTCATTTATTGAACTAAGGGTTAGCTCATTATGAGCTAACATTTTAGTTCATTTATTATCTTTTATTAAATGTTCTTTTATGCTTTTTATGTTTGTTTTAATGTTTGTCTCTTGGAATTCCAAACCGGCCTTTGGAATTCCAAGATTTCTTTTTCCCATGGTGGCTCCTTGTATTCCACCATGGCTTTACTTGTTTGCCTCTTGGGATCTCACGGTTGGGCTCCTTCTTCCGTGACCGTCCCTCGTTTCCCGTGGCCGTGGCTCTCGGTCCGTGCGGTTCCCCTCGTCTCCCATGGATGTCTCCTTGGTTCCTGGTTTGGGTGATTAACCGTGAGCATGGGGGGAGTTTTCTATGTGTTTAATGCTTTGAATTAAGTGTTAAATTAATGTAAGGTGTCTTTTGGTCTTCCCCTTTCATACCTATATATATGGGGGGTATTGTAATGTTTGAAATAGTAAGTGAATGATATTTGATTTTTGGAAAAA